GCAAATATTGTGTTTAGAAAGGTAGATTTACTAGTTCCCAGCTGGCATGCCTGCTCTTCACTTCCTCAACTGCTGGCATAACTGCTAATAAAAAAGAAAAACTTTCAAATATTTTTTTTGTAGTTAGATAGTTAGAGAAAGGCAGAACTGCTTTGTAATTCCCATTGGCAAGCTGAAGGCTGTAAGGTTGTCTCTGGGGACACCTAGACAGGCAAAATGATCACTAACAATGTGACTGCTTCCTTGACAGATGTGAAAATGTTTATCCAAAAAGTAACAGAAACTTTCTGGATTTTGCATTCATTTAAACAGTGATTAAGAATGTAGTAGAAGCTGGAGGCTGACGGATTTCTTGCACAGAGCAACGATGAAGATAAGCCCATTAGTAATTTTCCTTCTACTCTGAGAGTTCAGAGAAATTGGATTTAATCAGTTTAAGTTTCTTCAACTGGGAAATTGCAGACAAGAGTGTTTATTTTTTTAAAGCAGGGATATTGAAGATCTTATTCAAGTTCTCACTGCTAGGAAGGATCATTTTATGAAGAACCTAAGCTTTCAAGGCACTGTTAAAACAGGTTAAAATTCCAGTTTGAGCAAGGGAGTTTCTTGCAGTGTTTGAAGTAGGGCATAACACTCACTCACATATATGAAAGAACACTGGTAGAGAAGAACTGCTGTAGTCAAGCCATGAGCACTACAAGTCTTCATAAAAAAAAGAACACCCAAAAGCAACACCCTGAAGCCCACTGCCACTATAAATATTGCTGATTAAAAGTTGTAAAATGAATAGAAGTAAAACACATTCTATTCAGAAGCCAGATACGAAACAATTCAAGAGGACAGCAGAGCTTGCTGGAGCATTTTGGTGATTGAGCATGAAGGCATCCACTTGAACGAGTTTTCTAATTGCAAGAGAGGCCAGAAATGGCCCCTCAATAAAACAGATCATTAACTTGTTTGATGAGGAGGAACTGCATTGTGCAAGAAAACATAAAGTAGGTGTGAAGGATGGAAAATGAATTGGTGAAACTGAAGGTAAGACAGGATATAATGACATTCAGATAAAAGGTAATCAGGTTTTGCAAACTTGGTTGTTTGCAGTGGTTCATGATATCCTATGAGATGGCATTTCTATATATTTTGTATATCTACTCCAAATTGTTGTCATATGTTTTTCTGAGGCAACAACAGATACAGCCTGTTGTCTCCTGCTCTGGCAGTCCCCAGGCAAGCATAGGACTGAAGGAAACCAAACTGTTCTCCTCCCAGGGTATAGAAAACATCCAATACGGCTTGTCTTCCTTTACAACAGCTTCTTTCTTTGTTTCAATATGCAAAAAAAAAAAAAAAAAAGAAAACAAAAAGAAAACGCTCAACATAAATTGATATGATTTTTACTGCCACTTATGTCATAAAAGATTTTCCTATATTATAAAGCCTTACAACAGTGAACATCATGAATTACTCAAGCCAAGTCAACAGAGTTATTCTATGAAAGGTACATATATAGTGGGAGTGCCTCAGGGTGCTTTCACTGATTACGTTCTTAAATGTTAATGGTTACATGGCATAAAATTTAACTGATAGATATGATCTTGTGCTATGATAGTTACTTGGAGGCGTTGTCTAATGAATTTTAAATGGATGAATTAAAGTTCATTAAATATTGACACTGGAAATAATATATGCCAGCTAAAAATCTCTGGCTGTTTATAATAGGAGTTCAGAAAGTTAATGGAGCCTGCAGGTTATTTTCTGAGGTTTGTAGAGAACTCTCTGGCCCACTTGCTGAATGCTTAACCAGAGACCAAGGGAAATCTTTCTTCATGCTTTTACTAATGAGATTGCCATGAGTTTATTCAGGTTTGGTTGAAAATGAAAAGGAGGTAAACAATATTTCTTACCTGAAAAAAAACCAAACGTGAATTACCCAATGAAATGACAAGATGACACTTGTACATAGTGACTATTGTATTTCTTAAAATCTGCTGTAGTCTGTTGCTCTCACTCTTTGCTGTAGGTGTAATTATTTTCTGTGATATGCATTTAAACTGCCCAAATTTCCAGGACTTTGACAATTTGCATTAGATAAGCTTATCTCCTGCTGAAGCAAAAGGCACTTTGAAGACATTAACTGCGTTTGGTGAGTACAACCTTTGTCATTAAGTGAACTGTTTAATGCTTTCATTGGACACACCTTTTTTCTTTCCTGACTACACAGTATGAATTGAGGGTTGTGTTCGAATCCCTCTTTCCTCTCGGATTAACTTGCCACAGTCTAACTCCGTAGATAAGGTGGTGCCAGAGGTGGAGTTGGACGGATGGGTTTGCTTACACTGTAGTCCGTAAAAGAAACAAAAGGCCTTGCATGCAAGAAAAAAAAAAAAAAATTGAGAAAATGAATAAATGAAAGAAGTAGAATTAAAAACAAACATGAGAATGAGATTCAAAAGCTATTTAAATCAAAAGAGACTCTATTTATGGAAACAGAAAAGTCATAGATTGTATGCAGACCATGCTTTGGATTAGCTTAGTGATAATATATGCTGTGCAGCATTTTCTGTCTAAGCTTCTTATATCATCAGTGTGAAAATAAAGCAAAAAGAGAGAAACCAGAAAATAATACTGAAATCACCAGAATTTTCTTTCTTTGAAATTACTTTCACAGAAAAAAAATCTACAGTCCTCACATATTATGTTGTCACATTAACCTATTTAAAGATTTCCATTAGTACAATCAGCAACACATCACTGTGAGACAGCAGCAGTTTCACTACATACAGACACTGTATTTTTATATATTCATCCCTGAGTATTACGTTATTCATTCAACAAATTGCTAAATAATTTAACAATCTCTCATGATCTAATGCTTTAGGTCTATTTTAATTATGATTTCAAGGGTACATTGCCTTTCCAGGCTCCTGAATTGTTTCAAAATATTCTGCACCACTTTAGTGCTTATACTATGTGTTTTATCTGCAATAGTGCTCCAAAACTTATTTGAATAAATACCTCCTGAGTCTTTGATCTCCATACATTCTTTACTCATTTTGTGCTAGTACTGTTCTATAAAGTTTGCACAGTAACCAGGAAGTTGCAATATGAGCAAAATGCATCCATCCTTTCTCTCTGACTTACTCCCAAACAGGGACACCTTGATTGATAAGGCGTGCAAAATTGTCTGCCTGAGTTACATCCTTTGTTTGTATACATTGCTTTCAGTGAGGGCTTGATCAGGAGCATGCAGAGTAGTCTGCACAGTCATGAGCTGCCCTCTTCTGCAGGGCACTGCAAAGATTAAGCCCAATCAATGAGTGTGGCATTAGGTCCCAGGGACCCACAGTAACATCAAGAGTCATTTGGAAAATGAAGATATCTGGTAGGATTCAGATCGCTTCCTTCTAGCTGTCTGAACAGTGGGCATGTATACTTAGCTACTTGTGAGTGCAAGGAGACACAGGCGTAGAACCACAGAATACCCTGAGCCTGAAAGGACCCACAAGGATCACTGAGTCCAATTCCTGGCTCCATACAAGACCACCCCAAATTCAAATCCTAGTCTGGGAGGATTGTCCAAAACGGAAGCCATGACTGCTGCCCTGGGGAGCCTGCTCCAGTGCCCAGCCATTCTCTCAGTGAACAGCCCTTTCCTAATCCTCAACCTGACCCTCCCCTGATACAGCTCCATGCTGTTCCCCCGAGTCCTAGAGAGAGATCAGTGCCTTGACATCACTGCAGGGTGGTTCATTCCATCAGAAATCCAGTGTTTAAAAATGAGGCACTGTCCTCTCCAGGCCCTCAGCTGTGGCTGCTTGCTTTGACTTAGATGTGAAACCCTCTCATGTCTTAGCATCAGTACAGTATAAACTACATCTCTGAGGTAGAATTCAGAATGTTCTCCTCCTCTTTCCACTTGTCCCTTATTTTTCTTGACCGCCTTTTCTGTCATTTATGTCATCAGTTTTGTAGGACTACACCTTGGACGGAGAGGATGAACTGCTGACTGAAAATCTCTTGCCTTTCCCATCTAAATGCAAACTGAGCTTGAACAACTCACTTAGAAGTGTATGTCTGAAGTTACGTGTTACAAACTGATGACTGTCTCAGTCTACCAAGCCTGCAGTGCAACATGACCCTGTTGAAATATCCTGTTGAAGTGAACAGGACAAGAACATCTTTAGCAGTTGATCCAAACAGGGCCAAACGAGGGTCTAGGACATTGCCAGCAGCAGACCGGAACCAGGGAAGGTAGTCAGATCAAGAGGATTGGTAGACAGTTTCATGAATAGACTCTGAGTGGCTGTATGTATCTTGTTTCTTTTACTGTGTTTGTCTCAGTAAGTGGGTGTTTACACCCTATTTTAAAGATAGATTCTATTTCACAAGCTTCTCTTATACTGAAGATGTGATTTATACGTAACATTTTTCTTTGTTTCCTCTCACTGTTTTCAAATCACTCATTACAGTTCAGTGGAGATATATCTCGAAATTGTTTGGCTCCATAATCTTACTTTGCTGTGGCATCCATCACCTTTCAGCAGGTTTCCCTGCTTTGAAGTGCATGCTTCAGCACAGAGTGTGTAAACCCCTGGCTGTGAAAGAAATGTTTTCTAGATCAAGAGAAAAATTACACTAGAGATTTGGAAGTACATTCCTGTTGTTACTCAAGAGCTGATGTTAATGCCATTAAAAAAAAAAAAAAAAGGTTCTGTTTTATTCCTTTCCAAGGTAATTTATACTTTAAATCTTAAAGATCAAGCTAAAACAGTTTGAGCAATTAATTGCTCTTGTTCTGCATTGTCATATTAAACAGCACTAATTGGACTGTGGATGAGTTGCTTCCCTATTCTTATTAAGAAATTATTTCTCTGTAGTGCCAGAAACAAATGGTGAGAGTTCAGCAATACAAAATCTGCACTCCAGCAAAGAGACATAATGCAGTCACCACAGATCTCAGCCTCCCAGAAACATCAGCAAGCTGGAAAAGGATGACTTACCTGCTCAATATCACTGTTTTTCCTTGATTTATAAATAAATTCACCAATGGCTACGAACACTGAAAGAACAAGCCCAGCAGCAAGCACTATGAAGATGCCCCCAATATTCTCTACCCCGAGAGCACTGGCTTCTTTGCTGTCCTCTTCAGGGCAGCCGTTGCCTCGCCACCACTTTTCCTTCATCATGTGAAGCTTCCCCTCCTCCTGGAGCTGGAGGATGGCAATGGTGATCTTGTCCCTATAAGGTGACCCTGGAAGATGAGAACAAGATTTGTCAGCGCTGATTGCAGCAAAATGAAGGCAGAGAAAGAGCACTTTAGTTGCTCTATCTGGAGCAACTGGATAGTTGCTGCTATCTGGAGCAAAACGGCCCCCTTGTTACAAGACTGAATTATTCCAGCTAGAAATTCTTGTGTTCTCTTCAGCTGGAAGAGGATGGAGTACCAACAAGCTGTTGGCATCTGCCCTGGGGACTGGAAAACAGAAGGCTCCTTTGGAGTTGTTATTTGTTTGGAAATTCATGTTGTTTTCTAGGGTCTCCTACTGAGGTTTATTTAAGACTTGGCAGTGGGTTTGCTTGCTAAATAATCCCTCTATATCATGTCTGAATATTGCTTTAAGCATCCTTTGAGACTTTCCACTTTACATCTCTTCTATTTACTTCAACATCTGTTTATTTTTCCTACTGCATGAAAAATGAGTAACTGTCTAAGAAAACCCACAGCCAGTCAAATGCATTCTCTTCTCATTTTTACCTTCATATGCCCACAACTCCACTTCATCTACCTTAGAGCTTATAAGAACACAAGCCGGCCTAGCCCTTTTTTTCTGTGACATTATTGACACTTCAAGCTGAAAATAGCATATATTTCATGCTTTTTATTTTCAGGCCAACAGTTTGCTAAATGATGCATTTTCAGCTCAACAGCATTAATGCCCTGTACAGTATCTGGCAAATAGCAGGGTCACATTGGGCAGTTCAATCTGTTTAGATTTGCTTCTCATGCACTAGTCCAGCTCTCCATCTTCCAAAATCTCTGTTTTTTAGCATTCAGTTCAGCCAGCAGCTCTAACAGATGCACAGATCTGTAGCCTCAAAGCAGGAGAAGGGAAAGGTTTGCCCCTCATCCCACTTTTGGAGCACAGCACTGTTAAAATAAATTACTATCAATTCACCTTTTCAGTGCTGCCAGAAGCTGAAGTTGTCAATAATAGCAGCAATCCTCTTATTAATTACAAAAGATAAGCAGAAGTTGTTTTTGGCATTGTAATGGAGTCTTTTGTTTGTAGGGCAAGGATTTTATGATAGCAAGCAGGAGAGGATTACAAGAAAAGCTGTTTGGCTTTGAAGACATATATGTGCCCCCAAACTCTGTCACGCTGGAATTCCTGCAGTTGGAAGGTTTAAGTGTCTGGGCTGAAATATAGCCAGTGTCACTAGTCCCTCGTCCATGTAGCTAACTGCCATCTTTCCCTCTCCTTTAGCACATTAATGAGACTATTCCCCTCTAGCTAGAATTTCACAATGAGTCACATTTTGCCTCAAGTTAAAGCAGTTGCAATTCTTGCCTTCATCAAGATGAATAAAATTCAAGGCAGAAGGTGTGCCCAGAGTTTCAGTGATGTCAGGGTACATGTGGATATGGACACAGGAAAATCTCACTAAGAACCACTTTTGTGCCTTTATATATCTAAATGGCCTGGGATATTTGGCCTTGGTTTCACTTTTCATTCTCACACTGTTGTGTAGGACACTATTAAAAATAATTGTACCGTGAATGCAAATCCCTTTTTCCATTTCCTTTAGCCTGCAGCACTGTCTGAGGAGAGTCAGTGCGAAAAATACAGCAGTACTCTGTTGTGCCAACACTCAGCTATTTTTCAGTGTACCCTACTGCCAGCAATAGGACATGCTGTGACCACAGATGCCAAGAGACATGTGTCAGATTATACGAAGTCCATCTGGGAAGCCAGCAATCAGCAGCTACTGCTTTGGAAAGCCAGCTCTGAAAGGAAAATACGCTGGCTGTAAGAATAGATGATTTCTATGCATGCTATTAAAGAGCCAAAAATAAGCACAGCAGAAAATGAAACACTTACAAAACTGTCTTTACACAGAGAAGTGAATTATTACCACTGAAAACAACAACACCAGAAAAAGCAAAATTATTTCTACCTTAGGAGAGGTTTGTCACCCTGATGGCTGGAGTTTGTTATATTGTAGGTATCATCTATTTTCCCTTGTCTAAAAGAAAACAGCGGCTAGGCAAAGCGAAGCAGCCTGAGTCATGGCACAATATTTGTGGGGATGTTCATTCTTTCTTGTGATGTTTTTGTTGCCAGCAGGGTTATCACAATTCATCTTGAGGGTAGAAGGTACCTATCTATATTTCTACATGTGCTTTTGAAGTTCATCAAGTGTGCCTGGAGTGCTGGATTAGTGATGTTTTATTGGTGAGCACTAAAACTGCACACAAATCCACCTCAAGACCCCTTTGAATATTCAGCACAGCATTTATGACCACTGAGCGATTAACAACCTACCACTCAGGACAAGAAATAAATCCACATACTTTCTTAGCAATCTCCCAAGTAATAGCTTTAGTGTTAGAATTACTTGCATCAGCACTGGCAATGATACTGGAATACGTATCCTGACAGCTATAATAGTGTTGCTTTCTTCAGCTGGATTCCTCCCAGGGTGACATTTGTATAGGTTTTGCATAGAGGTGCCTCTGTTACAGCACTGCTTCCAGACTGCAGCAAGCTGACCATCAACCATCACTGCAGATTTTTCATCAGTACTGATCTTTGCCAAGAATCTAATGAAAACCCTCCTTCCTGTGACCCAGGGCTCACTAAGCATAAACAGAGAGTTTGTTGATCCACCTGAATTTCTGTCTTCCTAGCTCAGCACAATGAAGAACGAAGACAGCTTATATCTGCAATTTTCTACTCGCAGAGTTGATATTCTCTGGATTCATAGATGAATTGTTTCCTTGGGAACCAAGTGGTGATGGTATTCAGCTCATTCACTGGAAATTTTGGAGTGCAAGGCATGCTTTCGCTGCTGCAAACCATAACCATGTGCTTGTAGATTCTCCTGAAGGAGTGAATGCAGGCTTAGACTTGTTGAAACTTTGGTGTTAGCATCATAGATAAGTCTTGTTTTCAGTGCAGCTTCTGCAGTGCGATTGTTTTGAATGCTGTGAGAGACTGACAGAGGCTATGGGGTTTATGTGAATATTATGAAGATCTAGACACTTCATCTTATCTGTGAAATCAACTTTTTAAAAGCTTAAGAAGCTTGATGACACTGCAGTATTCCCAAGTGCTTAGAGGTATCTATTCCCCTGAATTTTGCTGGTTTTCCTTAAGAAAAAAGATCAAGGCACATTTATCATACGAGAAATATCTTATAAATATATTTCACAGCTGTATTTCCAATGGATGCACTCTCTCCGAGGATTGCCATCTGTTCCAATTATTCCTTCATTGTTCTTGGTTTAAAGTGTGGCAGCTTTATAACTGCAATGAAACTCTTGCCATTCGTTTGTATTTATTTGGGGATATTTTAACATTTGTACCATTTTCCATAAGGACAGAAAACTATCCTCATATAGACAGTGGAAAAATATACTTAAAATATTATCAGTGTGATGATCTGAGGTGCTCAGTGACATAAAGAATCCCATTTCAAAGTGCAGTGGTGTTTTTCCTCTCTTATTTATATCTCATCTACCAAGCAACTAATGGACCAAATACTTAACCTATTATAACCTCTAGTTAATTCCCCTGAAGTCAGTAGAATTGTGTAACTATTAATTGAGTGAGGCAGTGTAAATGTATATGTGAGCAGTATGGAGAAGTATAATGCAAGAAAAAGATCTGGCTGCCCAGTACCCACTATTCACAAGAACACAAACACAAAATAAGCAAGCAAAGAGAAAAAAAACACACTTATGTAATTATTTGCAACTAGAAAAAGTCTTGTAAAGGACACCGAGTATGCTAAAACTCTGCTGGAAAGAGTTCACAGAGCCTGGGAATCTTAAGCTCTGCTTATCTTGAAACTCTGAAGTCCCTGATGCAGAGGCAGAACCTTGCGATTGCTTCTCATTGTTCTTATGTGCAGCTCTCGACTCTCAAAATAGAACAGAAATTGGTCTCTTTTCATACTTTCTTTCAGATATGTATGTTGGACACATTTGTTGTCCCCTCTTCCACCTTCCCCGAGACTACTTGATTTCACAAAAGCAAGTAATAATTCAGTAGTGCAACTTGGACTTAGAACAGGGCAACACAGGGGACACCCAGTTTGTCACAGAGGGGATGCTCCAGAAGGCAAGAAGATTACTTGACTTTGCTCTGCAGATGTAGCCTGCATTGCTATATTCCTTATTCGCTACAGAGTCTGCTTGCAGATAAGTGGATACAAGAGGAGACCTTTTGCCTTAAAGGAGACTCCCAGAATCTGTTTTGATGAAAATATTTCCTAAAAGAACAGGGCATCGTTCAGATAGTCATCTACACATCTGTAGAGGACATTGCTGGGTGTGCTCCACATCACCTGTGCTGGAAAACATCTTACCAATAGGGGTTCCCACACCATAGCCTTTCGAATCGATGAGTCCCCCGATCTGAGTGAGGTTGCAGTTTCTCTGAGTCACATACTCAATGCTGGTGGACTCCATCAGCAGCGCATAGTCCGTCGTGAGCACACGCTGGATTCCTTCATCATTGTTCTTCACCAGCGCTGTCTGCTGCCTGCTGCTCATGAATGCCCACATCTTCTCATATGTCGATATTTTGGATTTCTAAGAAGGAAAAATGAGGACACAGAATCACACCAAAGCACTCAAATTACACCTGTAAACATTTCCTCCACCTCGATAGGCCTTATCTTGTGGATTGTTGTGAATGATGTCAGTAGCATATCTCGAATGAAAGAATGGTTTTCCTTCCTGCCTTTCACTCTCACTGTGCTTTATGCTTCTTCTGCTTCCTTTGCAGTGCCAGGAACTCTGTTACTGGCACAACTGTGAAGTGCTTTGAAGTTTTTTGGGCTAATGCTGTTACATGGATTGCAGCAAATAATTACACACAGCCCAGCAAATTAGTGCAGCTGGATACTCTTGTGTTCAGTATCAGGGTTTCTGCCAGTCAGGGTGAGTGTACTCTTCCAAAAGCTTGAAGATCAGTAAAGCACTGGCTCTTTTATATTGATATCATTGCCTAAAACTCATGTACTTCAAGGATAAAGCTTGACAAACAAACCTGAAGTGGCTTCTAAGCAAAATTCTGCTTTCAGCTTTCCATTGCAATCAGAATTAAGGACCTAATCCTTCTCCCACTGAAGTTTGGGGAATTTTTGCCACTGGCCTCAGTAGGAGTGTGCACATGGCTTGTGTCAATATCCAGTGGCACAGGGAAGAGGAATGCCAAAAGTCATAGCCGCCTGAATGCAGTGCTGGACATCCCTTCCTCCCCACTCCACTCCCTGTTCTGTGTGAGCATCCTACAGGGAAAGATCCTCACAGGGTGTGAAAAGAGAAACTGAACCTGCTCAGCGTTCTCAGGGGCACTTTGCCTGCTACACTCAAGAGGTGCTATCTGCAATCCAAAAACCTTAAAGCAGTTGCACAGTGCTAACACAATTAAACCTTGCCCTTCTGTGTGCTGTCCAAACCTACTGAGCACAGTGTTGCTTCTGGATGAAACAGGATGTTAGCGCTACAGGAAATTGGACCATTGGAAACTGTTTGTCTCAAGATAGCACAGCCAACCATTACTGAACTATTTTGTGCCACTACCCAGCATGAGCCAGACACACACACACCAAATTTTGGTGTAAATATGAGCCCATGATCCCCTCCATGTATGCACTTCCCCAGTTCTGGAGCAGTATATTCTCACCTCCTTCATTGTCCCTATCTTAGGTTTGAAGCCATCACAGCTGATTTTAGGCTCACAGTGTTGGAGACAACAAGCACTCATTAAATACCGGTGTCTGGGAGATTCCTGTGAGCAGCTGATTTTCTGGTTCTTTCAGCTTTAAAAACTAATATGATTTCCTGTGAATTCAATACCTGTGAATTTCACCTAGGTTTCAACCAAGACTTTAAGCCACTGGATATCAGTAAGCTTTGAAGATGGTTAAGTGGCTTTTTGCAAGTAGAAGGCATTTGTACTGCTCAGCTGGGAATACTTTTTGAAACTGATGATATATTTATGCAGTAAATTGAATCTGATATTGAATTTACTGGAAAGATATATTCCTTATTCAGATAAGTTTGGTAGAAAGATCTCAACTTCCTGACTTAGCAACTTGATTCAACTGGCTTCTCATTGATTTAAGTGGGAAAATCTCTGCATATTTGGAGGTGGGACCTGGCAGGATTTCTAAGTTGAGATTAACATCTATTATCACAGAGAAGCAAGAAAGAAATGGAAGATTTATAGTATAGATGTGTTGAATTTTGCCCAAATTTGTGTAAAGGGCTGGGAGGCTGACTGTGGGGTTCCTTTAATGCCAAGAGTCTCTTGTCTTTCACAGATAATTTCAATTGCTTTTGTTTTCATTGCTCTCAATACCTGGTTAGAAAGCATAGCCACTGCAGGAACATTCTTGAAAATATTGCCTCTTCAGCAAGAGTTTGTCTAGACGTGCTATTCACAGCTGGGAGACAAGCTCTCAGTCCTTTATGGGAAGGGTGCTTTCTCTTAAACTGTGCCATAAGGCACACGTAGAAACACCTACCCCTTATGTCACCTTCTGACTACTGTGTTTTACACGCTCCCAGCTCTCTCACTGCTATGCATGTGGCTGTGTGTATGCTTACTTAGCTCCAGAAATATAAGCAGTATTTTACAGTATAAGGGAGGCAAAGCGATGCCATCTCAGTGCATACAGACTTCTTTTTGCATATATAAGTTATCTGTTGTACTTACAGTACACGTACTGTGAAAATCTTGAACTTTTAGTCAGAGAAAGGAAATCCTAATATTGTGAGAATCATGAAAGGCTACATAATAAGGCTAATAAAAATAATCACATTTATTATATAGCACTGTGTGTGCCTCACTGGTTTACAAGTAAAATGAATTGTATTTTCTATGCACCTTTCACTATGTCACCTTCACTCTGCCAGCTTATCTATCTCCATTCTGTACTAAAACTGATGTCCTTTCCTTTGGTTTTATGCGTACACATATTTCAGGCACAAGTAAGCTGGCATGTATAGCATATAGATATTTAATCACCTTATTATTTTTAAGAGGCTTGCATACTGTAAAGCCTACACGTTTTACTCTGAAGGATTAATGGTGCAAAAAAAAAAAAAAAAAAAAGAAAAAAAATTCACTGTAGAGCTGGAAACAGCTCTTGAATTTTTTTCTAAATTTCTTGTGGTGAAATTACAAGTTATTTGCAATGAAATATTGTGGAGGGAGCAGATTCTGAGCAGTTCTTTCCTGTGCTGAATTTGACTTCAGAATAGCAATGACAATGTCTGTCTTTAGGTGGTGAAGAGCTCTTATATCCAGGAGATATCCCAGAGCCTTCCAGAGGGCAGCATTGGCTGCTTCCCACTGCTTTGCATTTGTATTGAGATCCTGTCCTCACCTAATGAAGTTTCCAGGAATATCTTGAGATAGGTTTCCCGGCATGTCTTTAAAGAAATGTCAGCTCATCCTTCCAAGAACTGACTATAACAAGGCTCTGAAAAAATGCTCTACTTTTCGCATTTCTTTCAGCACAGAAACATTTATATTCAGCCACAGGAGAGTCGTTACAAAGGGAGTTCACCCTTGATAGCTCACTAGGGATGGTGCTACCTCATAATTGAAATGACCTTGATGAGCACTTCTAGTTTTGAGAAATGACCCAAAAACCAATCCTTTCTGAGTGTGGAAATGCTCACTTTGCCTCATGTAAAAATATAAGGGGGTTGTGCTTAAAGCAGTGCAGGGGGATACAAACTGGAGCACGAGGTCCCTCAGCACAGGAACTGAATCTGCTTGTTCAGAATCAAGGGTTATTTTGCCCCACATGTTGTTCCACCAGGATGTCTCATTCTCAAAGGCACTGCATATCTGACTATCTATAAACACCATTCTCAGATGCTACAGTAAAAAGCATGATGCCACTTTATTCAATGCTTAACTTCCCTGCTGAGAGTACCGATGAACCTGCTAATTAATTCTAATTGTCACAGGATTTTTGTGTGTATTTCCTAAATTTATAGCTGGTTGGCTTTTAAAATTGACATTTCATGAGATTAACCCATTTTTTGTCTAATTAATACTAATAGTGCAAAAAAAAAAAACCCAACCAACAACAGCAACAAACTCCTCCCCCCCCAAACAAACAAACAAACAACAACCAATGCATTTATCCATGAAGCAATCAGCCACACAAAATCACAAAATGACCCTTTACTTACAGACATGTTTATGTGTGTATGTGGCCATTATATTAATAGCATGCATAATGCTGACCATGGAACATTTTAAGAAGGATGCAAACCAGCTTGTATTTTGATTATGTGCAGTGTTTTTCCAGTGCAGGTGTGACCTTCATAACCAATCTTAGCCAAGTGTTTGTATAAAGCTGAGATCCTACTGTGAGAAACAATCCGAGGGAGAATGTCCTCAGGTCCATGGCCTCATTCCCTTCAGGTTCTCCCATCAAAGGCGTGGGTTTGCTCCTCACAGCAAAGGTAGCAGGTAATCATCCACGGGTCAGTTTCACCACTCAGAGCTGGCTGACGCCATCTTACCTTGAAGAAGGTCATTGTGGATCCGTCTCTAACAGCCCCATACTCTATTTTGGTTTGCTTTGCCAAATCGTCAGCTGAATCGATGGGGGATTCCATCCTTTCTACCGTCAGGAATGCAGCCAGGTTGGCAGTATAAGATGAGATTATGATTAAGGTGAAAAACCACCATATTCCTCCAACTATTCTGGTGGAAAGAGCTTTGGGCATCAGTTCTGATCCTGTTACAATATCATCAAAATAATCACGTTAAGGCAATGCTGAAAGATGCCTTTTCTGATACCACAGACTATTTTTAGGCACAGAATGCTTTTATGAGACATAGTACCATAAAATGATTTAAACAGTAATCTTACAGATGCACATCTAACATTTATAATGGTAACACACTGTGAAGGGGATGTGTGCCATGGTACACGACAAATGGAATTATCCCTGATCTAAACCCCGTTACCTCTCTGAGCTAATGCTCATTGTTCCATTAACCTTGTAACCCAAACAAGCTGTACTAGTATTTTTTATCTGATTCCTAAATTTCTTTTTTTGCCAGTATATACCATGATCGATATTTTTAACCAGAGATCTTTAGCAGAATGCTGTTCTACTTACAAGCTGCCTAGGAGAAATGCCTTACAAGAAGAAGCTGCTCTGTGTGCCTTCTATCCACATACCTAAGTAAGAACAAGGTGATCAATATGCTTCCAGTATATTCATGAGCCTGCATGAACCTGAGCTCACTATCCAGAACATGTCTTACTACAAAAGTGTGATTTAAAATTTAAAATTCAGAGGGTGAATGGAAGTATGCTTTGGATGTACAGGGCAATGCAAAGTTCTGGATGCTGTATTTGAACTAGTTATCAATGAAAAGGTTTTAGCAGTTCTGCCAGCATGTCACACTGACAAGTATTAAAGCAATCCGCCATAGTCATAAAATCCCCTGGAATAACATGCTCCCAGCGTGGGTGGTAAGTGCACTAAAATGACTTCTTAGCAGCTCAGACTGAATGTAAGCAGCACAGGTACTCAAGCATTTTCATGCAAGGTTTTTGTTTGTTTGTTTGTTTGTTTGTTTTGAGGCCTCTCCTCTGAACTTAGCTCATTAAATGGGATTTGGGGATCTGGTTTGACAAAATACTTAGACGTCCACTTGAATACTATTGATTTCAAAGTAAAGCATCAGCATAATTATTTTATTGATGAAAGATAAACTTAAGAGTTTATTCTGCCTGTGAACGGAAACCTCAGTATAGAAAACGTTTGATGTAACAAATATTTATGTTACTGGAAAACATCCTGATAATGCATTCTCTCTCCTGAGCTATTTAACAATTTCTGGAAGAAATGTAAGTGGGTTATAGAAAATGTTTTCAGACTTTGCAAAAACTGTGAACATTACTCCTGAGGCAAAAACTGAAAGGGTAAGAAGCTTACAAACAGCTAGCAAACAGATTTAACTCAGCTTCATAAACATACAGATATGTCTCTTAAAGGTCAATGCTGAGCATAGCCCTAGGGTTTCAAGAGGCTGACAGAACTGCCGAACTGCAAGAGCAGATGCTCTGCTTGCACAGCTCTGGTGCTGCACGGATTTCAAATCAGGCTGGCGGTCTAAAAGCAAAAGTTCTTGCTTAAAATTTGATTCCAGTCTATCCATTTCTAGAGGTGCAGCTCTATTTAGGTTTGTGTTGTGTTGTGGTTGTGTTCTATTCTTCTATTCTTCTGTCTTCCAGATAAGATTTTTTTAATAGCATGAAATCTTTTTTTTTTTTTTTTCCTTTGCTTTGTTGCTCTCAGAATTAAGTGTGTATTTTTCTTCAAACTGGGACTGACCTAAAAAAGCTGGCTTCTAGGAGTGCTGATTCAGACCATCTTGAAGGTGTAATGTTTTTAAAGCTCATGCAGCTATACACATACAAATTCTGAACTTGGGCCCTGATGCAACACGTCGTATGTATTGTATACAGACAAATGATCCTAGCAAGCAACAAAGAAATCTGCCAGTGCAGATACATGGTGGCACAAGCAAATATGTGGAGAAGCCCTGCGTGCTGAATTTGTAGGGTGCCAAGCCTCCCATGATTTCCTCTGGCAAAAAGTTATTTGTGAAAAAGTAGCAGAACACATTCTGTGCAATTAAGCTCAAGGCTCCTGGGTCTGTTAATTATGCAGTGAGCATTGGTTTTTGCTTTTGGAAGGTGCTGAGCACGCTGTGTTCCCAGAAGAAACAAGCAGGCCCAGCATCTCTCTTGATCAGCTCCATGATTATTTCATTGTTCACCTTTCTGTGTTCCCTGACTGCAGCAGAGAGCATTAGTATAAGCTTCATGCCCCTGACTTCATCCTTAGCACTTTCCTGAATTGAGTACTGCTGTTCTGCCCACCTGGCTGGAAGGGGGTTCTGCATGTAACATGCCTTCCTAAAAGCAGTGGTTTCTTTGAATGAATTTGATGAAATGCGACCCATTTGAATGCTTTCAGAGTATGCATAACATATTTGAGACTTTCAGGGGAAAACCAGGAGAAATAACATCTAAATAGGAATGTTGCTAGTTAGACTCAGGGTCAGGGACAATACTTGCTGAAGTCTCTCTAGTGCCTTTTTATGGCAGACATGACAGCCAATCCTGATCCAGACTTTGCTCACGCTCTGTAGAAAAGAGAAAGTCTGATCATCACATTTTAAAATTTAATAACAAGTGGCTTCCAATCAAGCATAGCAATCAGCTGCTGTCAACAAGAAAGAGTATAACAGTAGATGCAGAGTCTCACAACCATTCACTCCATGTTCAAGCTCTTCACATTAGCAATGATGCACTTACAATCACACGCACCACAAGTTTGTACATGGAAACATTTGTGTTGCCTTACAAATGTTTTTTCTTTCTTTCTTTCTTTCTCTTGTTTTATTTTTATGCTTCTTGAAAGACAAGCAGAGTCTGGTTGGGGCTGACTGTCATGTACCCAAGGTAGTGGTAACGAGCAGACACTGCATCCCACAGTTTGCTGTGGATGATGGTAAACTCCAAAAAAGGCAGTAGATTAAAACACAAAATCCTGGGGTACTTTCACACACACGGCAGTCACAGCTATATACACACATCTGCCTGATACTGTAAAACCTCAGTCTGCATCTCACTGATCAATTGGAAGGACAACAAAACAAAGGAGCAAAACAGAATGGCTCTTCCTTCAGCTGGTCACCTTCAAAGCCATTTCTGTGAGGCTTTGAATGGCTTCAAAGAGCATTTCTATTCTGTCAATGCATTAGAGCACCAATATAAGCAAGAGTATCCTAGATACAAGACAAACTTCAATCTCTACCGTGTCCAGGAAAGATCCTCCTAATGTTTCTTTTACTGCTACTCATATCTGTTAAAAAGGGAAGAATAAACTGTACCTGCATGAGTGTAGAGATGGTTTTACATTCCTTACTTAAATGCTTAGAAATCTAATACTGAAGAAAAATGGTATTTCTTCTGGATTGCCTTTTTTGGTTGTTGTCATGGGGTGGGTATTTTTGTTCAGCTTTGATTCAAGTGGAAATTTTGTCAGAAATTATTTTCATTCCTTTCAGTGAACCCCAGTTTTGGTGAATAGTAACTTAATTGGAAATCTGTGAATACATATGCCATAACCAAATGTGGTCAGTACACATATATCTTTTACTTCCCATATGAAGTGAGCTTCACTGCCTTTCCTTGTCAATTGTGTATAATGTCAGCTGTTTCCAAAATCATCAGCAACAGGGACTTGTGACTGTGTTAAGTTAATGCTTCTAGGGTTGGATTCGTTTACAGAAGGATGGGACTCATACCTGCAGAAAAGCCATAAAAAAAAGGTTTGGTTTTTGTTTTAAACAAAGCGTTTGACAAGTGCCAACAAACTTAACAGTTCTTCCGAAGAAACTACATTATCTGTTCTGTTTGGCAGTGAAAACAATTTGTTCTAGGGTTGCTAAGATTACTGATTCTACTGGGATGAAGCCCAATTGGGAAGATATTTTCCTGTTGCCAAACCTCTTAAATCAAGAGACTGAACTTCATCATAAAGAACACCATATCTAATGAATATTTTCTGTTAAACTCCAGCAACTCCTGTGTGGATCTGTCTGCATTCCTCTCTCCCAGACTTCCCCTCCTTATTCCTTCTGCATCCCTATCCTGGATTCTGCAGGTTCCCTTCCTCTGCCATCTCTCCAGAGATATATTGCTTTCTTCTCTTCCTATATCGCTTTGGTTCTGAGATTAGGTTTTACAGTATAATCTGTAATTACAGAGGGTGGAGTTTACCAGCACAGAAGCCCTTGAGCAGACTGTGGGACGTGTGCAATAACGAAGTGTAACCGATGTACCTTGCTGCATGAGAGCTCCAACTCCAAACCAGAAACTATTTAGTAAAGTAAAATTGTTTTCCACCACATCTGAGTCTGGGTTGCACGGGTGGGGGTTATACCATTCATAGGGTGTAAACCTGTGGCAGTTAACAGAAACAATCTGTAAACATCAAATAAAATACAGCGGCAGCAGACCTGAACAACGCACAAAATGAGGAGATTAATGAAGAAAACACAAAAAAAGGAAACCTCAGTGGAAAGGGTGTCTGCAGGATGTCCAGCAGCTGCTTCACGCAAGCTGTGGAGCAGAATGTCACAGCCTTGTTCCTAGCGCTGGACCTGCGTCCTTACTTTTGCTGCTCCTTGGTCACTGCCCTCAAAGCTGAGGTTGCTGGAGAGTCTTGAATCCCCCAACATTTTGTGGCCGGTGTTGCTGGGAGGACCCAACTCTCTCAGTGCTTTGCAGCCTACGTTGCTCCCAGGTAGACCTTCTAAAAGGTGGGGAGACTGCTTGAAGCTCCAGCACTGCTCTACGACAGAGTATTTGAAGAATAGTGAAGGTAGAAAAGACCTCTCAAGGCATCCATTTTCAGCTGGTGGAGATACTTGATGTGGAATGCCTTCACAGAGCTGCCGTGGCATCAAGGAAAATGGCTGCCAGCAGCTGGAAAGTGCTGTGGAGCAACTGCAGAACCTGAAAGCCATAGGGCCATGCTGTGTGGAAACAATCATGCGGGCGATTGCCTCAAATGGAAGGATTCTATTCTATTCCCCATGCAAACTATAAATGCAACTATAAATGCAAACTATACCCATTCTGGTCGGCAATACACTTGGCAGAGTTACTTTGAAGACCACCCCTCCCCAGGGTGTCTTGCCTGCTGTTGTTTCCCTCTGCTGCTTGGCTCGCTGCATACTTTTTCATAAAGTTTATGATTATAGCTTTAATTGACAATGTCATGCCAATACATTTTAATTACTGTTTCAACAATATAATTAAGCATTGAGTTTACGCACGGTTGCAAGCAGAGCGCCTTGCTTAGCTGAAGTAATGAACTCTGGTAGTCATGAACTTGCTAATTGAAACAGTATGCAGCTTAGGATGCCATTATCTGAGCAATATTAGCATTACTAGTATCATAGCGGTTAAAAATTGTAGCAGAAGACACGGTTTTCAGACTCAAGTTACAACAGTTCTGCATATACCAATTAGAGAGTCACCAAGTTCTGTTTCAGAAAGCCTCTGTGTAGCAATGAAATGGTTCCCAGCTCAGTTTGTGCACACATGGGCAAAAACATGCTCCCACAGGACAGTGAGAAGATGTGCAAACAGCTCTAGGGCCTGACCAGGAGGGAGAACCCAGGCTGGGATGGGACAAACGTCTCCATCACCAAAATAGCCAAATAGTGGTTGATAGAAAGCAACAATGAAATTCTGGCAGCAAAACTCTTTCTGCCAAACTAGAAAGACTTTTTATCACAACAAACGTATAGTTTAATGGAATACTAGGTTTATATTATACTTCCATCTTAAATATAAAAAAAAAAGGCGGTTTTCTTCTTGTGTGCTGAGCTGAACACCAAGAAGAGGCTGGATTACAGTTCTGCTCTATCTCATCACACACTCAGTCTGGTGTTCTTCTGGTTATTTCCCTTTAGTTTTCTCCTTCTTACAAACAACATGTTCAAGGTCACCTAAGCACCTTTTACATAGGGTGTGTGTGATTTTATTCACCTTGTGTGACTGATGATTACCTCAGTTCTACCATCAGCGATGCAAAGAGCACAGGGAGTTTGACATAGCAGTAAAGGGAAATCTTGGCAGTAAATGCCTTCTTCATTCAGTGTGCTTAGGAAAAGAGCTTTGTCGATCTGTAACCTTTAGCAGTGATAAAAATGTCAGTGTTTGAGTTTAAAAATTAATGTGATGATGACAGGGCTACAAAATACTCAAAGAGAAATGGTTCAGCTGCTGAAAAATCTGAACAAAGAACAGGAAAATTACCTCAGTCCATGAAGATATTCCCAAGTATTTTTCTTCTGTGAACTGATGTCAAAACACCATTAAATGTTTAATTTACTATGGCAGTGTTAAAAAGCAGATGATTCCTGAAATTCCTAAAACTGTTCTAGTCAATATTTACTGAAGTATTTGATAAATCTTCCTACCAGGGAACAACAGCAGGACAAATTCCCAGCATGTGCCATAGCTGTTAATGCATATGCGAGGGATCTCTTATAAATCCTTCAACTGCAAGGACAGCAAACAAGCAAGCAAACCTTCTGTTTGTAATCACAGTCCAACATGAGACACGAATCTGTAGGGAAATTAGACTTCTAGAACTTCTGCTTTTTAGAAAGGCTTAGGGGGAAAAAAAAAAAAAGAACACAGTAACACAGGCCAGAGCTACGGATTTACCCAAAAGCTGCACTGTGATTTGGAGCAATATCTAACAGCCAAGAGAGTAAAGCAGACAGGTTTCACGTGATGATCTATGAGTACTGTGTTTCCATTTCATTTGATTTTTTCCCAGCCATGTGTGTGTGAGTAGGAAGCTCTGCAAGCAGGCAGAGAACCCTGAAGTTTATGTATTCTTAGCTTTGATGATGTTTTTTTTTTAAAAAAAACTACAAGAGCTGAGGATAATTTGGGCTTCATTTCCCATTCTGCCTGTTCTGAGGTGGAGAGGATGTTTTCAGTCTTGGGACACAACTGCAATCTGTCATGATTGAGCAGAGTTAATATTAGTCATGAGTGAGATCATGATTTGCGTACAGTAAGAGCTGTTATTTATGGTACAGTGAGCCACTGCAAGAGCTTGTGGGAAGCCATGAATAATTGTGTACAATCCCATCACTGCCAAGGCAGGATGAACTTTCTCTGTTATATAGGGCCAACACCAATAAGTTAACTCATGACCTCTTATCCTCTAATTCCTTTCTCCCTCTTCACATTCTCAGAAATTTAAACGAAAAAGTAAATCTCACAAAGTTCTGTACTTTGGCACTGATATAGAAGCATGCAAACAGCTGAAGCTTTCACATAGGCTGACCTCCAAGAACTAGGTTTGTTCAACGGACTACAGAGAAATGTATGCCCAAGGCCAATCACTCTCAGCAGAACTATTCCTCTGAATGAAGGTTTCACAGTGTCTTCTGATTAGAAGAGTGAACTGGTGGAAAAGCAGTAAAAGCTCCATTTGACTTGGCTCACACACATGTGAAAGTCAGGCAGAATGTATCAGAATGAATGATTCAGACTGCTGTCATTTTGATATTTGAAAGAGGGTTATAAGTGCATATAATTGGAATGCATACATTATTGCTGGTTCTTTAAAGTAGAATTTGCAATAAAAACTGCAGCATTTCCATGTTACATTTGCTATGATGTGAAAGGATAGGTTTTCAATGTACATCCTGTCAGTTCTTGTATTTTATAGTATCAATGTTTTCTCAGTCTGTTTTCCCATATTAATGTAGAATACACTGCTATTTGCAAAAAAACGCATAATGAAAGTGGAAGAAGACTTAGTGATCCTAAGTAAAATGATCCAAAAAATAAATATCTGTGAAGCATTTAAATTATGAAAAGGAAAAAACAAAGGATAGGATGAGATTAAAAGTAGGAAATGAAATTCCAACATCATTATTTGAAGAAAGCAACAATAACTATTCCAGTTAACAGAGTTTATGTTTACTGAAAAGTATAGGAAGAAAGATGTCTCAAATGACCAATTCCCTCTGACAAGTTTCTAAGTTCATTTTCTTTCATGCTTGGCTTTCTCTTGCTCAAAGCCACAGAGCAACTGACTCATGGTCCACAGTCCCCGAGGCCATGACAAGTAGCTTGTAGCTGGCTTGTGAAACTGTATCAAATGTCTTGTGTTTTTAAAGTAAAGTTCAATGTTAAGGGCGTAGACTGCTCTGCTGGTCAAGTATAACTTGTGGTATGACTGCGCAACACTGGTCAAAAACTTTCAGGCACACTTTCAGTGCTTTGAGAACACTATAAGCTTTAGATTCTTTCAGAAAAGTGGTGTTTGCTCGTTTCCTACTGTTTTTGCATTGGGACTTCACTGGGAACCTGTCACTGACTGGCAGTGCAGGTTGCAGCTCAGGATGGCTATGGGAGAGAGCATTGGTTATGTAGCTCTTTGCAGAAAACACTCAGGATCTTAGGTACATTATATTGTGTTTTTGAAGGGAAATGAGCTGAGCTAATTAGCATCCTTCAGCAAAAAATTTGTTCACGTTCTCCTTACCTTTAAACTGTATGCACTGTTAGTGGAAAAAGAAAAGTGCTTACATGCAACTAATACCAACTACTTTTTAACAAGTTCTGAGGTACTGCAAACTGGTAAAGAAAGGCTGACCTATTTCATCACATTTTTCTCTCCATTAAGCCCTTAAGGAAAGTTAAATCTTATCACATTGCAATATGTTAAAGTGATAGCAGTGTTGATGTGCAAATACCAAGAGATTTTCTAAAACATTATGTTTTAGACTGGATAACACCCTTAGGACAGTATTATAGCTATTTTGCAAAGCCCATTCAACACCTATGGCATGAGAGGTGGTTAATACTGATGCATCTAAAACTACGTCTTTGACTTACCTTGCAATGACAAAGAGGACACAACTGACTCCGAGGCAGGCTAGGAGAACATACATCCAAATATCAGGAGAAAGAGGGTTTAAAAAAGAGAAAACACCAGGGTTTGTGCCATTGGGCTTCCGGTACAAGATACTGATTCCCAGCGTCATGAAGGGCTTGGAAAAATCAATTACCTTCTCTCTTACATAAGTAATAGTGAGAGGAGCAACTGCCAGATCAGCTTTCTGAAAATACAAATGGGAAAATACTTGTTCTTTTTCATGTTTTTGTGCAAACACACTACTATTCCTTCCATTTTTTTCCTTGGAGTGTTAAAAAAGAAGCTAAATTTGACTACAAAACTGAAAAGCAAGACAAAACTGAACAGTGCTAGGGTACTACTGGGTAGTAGTTTTCTACATTCTGATTCCTTTTTCTGTATGTGAGGGATCCTCATGTTTTCTGTGTGTGGAAGGTCTGACCATGCTTGAGCACTTGGCCTCTGGAGAAGCCCTGTCCTGTGGAGCTCAATTCCTGGGAAGGTGATGTTCACAGATTGTCACAGGGCAGAGGTGTGCTGTGAGTTCTGCCTTTGCCACAAGAGCTTGTAACCAAGAGGCGGGCATAATCTGTGAGAACCCAGCACCCACTGACTCACTGCTCTTAGTGTTTCCCTTAGCACACAGCAACTGCCAGTTCAGATGTACTGCTGTGATTTCCTATTCTAATCAGAGGCAGTGGGACTGACCAGTGGCTCAAAAAGTCTATAAACTAATGCAAACATTTCAGGTAGACTGCCTTCACACAAAACACCACAGTTGAAAGGAAAATAAAGAGAGAATGATTCAATCTTACATGATCTATGAGTTCTTTGACCATCCCATTCCACTCTCCTTTGTCATTCTGGGCTCCATATTTACCATCAGAAACTAGTTTGACCTCATAGATGAAGCCCAAAATATTTGACAGCTCCTTTAGCAAATCCAGACAGTAACCCTCGAATCTGTCATTTCCATACAAAGGCTTGTCAGACTTCTTGTACATAACATAGGGATCTTCCTATAGAAAAACACGGCAGAAATAGCAATATAAATGAGATTTTTTTCAGAATATACATTTCTCTAAATTGTGTGAATATTTTATTAATGTATTGCAATTAGATGAATGTCAGTCATTTACTATGTCCATTAAAGACTACTCTAGGTATGTTAACAAAATCATGGAATCAATTAGTGATAAGCGTGAGGGCCCTAATTGTCAGTAGAACAGACCATTCATAGCTCCCATGGGCTTTAATTAAAGCAGCACTTAGCAGCTTCAGAATTAGATTCAAGATCTGTACATGGTCCTACCCTAAGGAGCAGGAAGGAGAAGCCTGAAAAACGGAAAAAGAATCATAAGCGGAACCTAAAATCTGACAATCTTCAAGAAAAAAAGATGCATCTTTACTGAAAAATCCTCTAACGTTTGATATAGCTGTGAGCTGAACCGGCATTCAGAGGAGAAAAATGAAAACAGCAGTAGACTGCAAACTATTTTGTTTCTTTTCTCTCTAAAGGATTTTGGTTAGGAAAAGGTCTGGGGGAAAATGCTGCTGCAATTTAGTGTGGCAAAATGACCTCTGGCAATAGAAAAGAAGGATAGAGGGTGTTTCTGAGCTTTTCCCCTGAGGGATTGGATGGGATAGTTGGGGGGAAAAAAAAGTGACATAAATTACCACAGAGGAACTATGGGGCAGGGCAAATGGCTGGAAAAACATTTTCACATTTTCTATTTATCATAATAAGGACATACTTCAATCAGTCTGTCCACTGTTTGTTGCTTTCTTTCATTCCTCTTCATTTAACTCTCAGTTAAAAGAAAGGATGTACAAACAGTGGCTATAAAATTGAGCATTTATGTGTGTTAATTCTTTTGGGAAGAAAAGCATACAGCTTTCATCTCCGAAATATTGAAGAATTCTTTTGGGAAGAAAAGTATGCAGGATTCATCTCTGAAATATTGAAGCAAGCTAAACTGTTTTGAAGACAGAGGTATCCCAGAGTCTTTTACTGGTAGTGGGGTATTTTGAGTCCACTGCATGGATGGATGACAACTTATGTTGGTTCTGAATCTACATCCAAAAATTTGTTTGAAAATGGAGTATTTTACCTACGTGTGTTTTAGTATGGAAGAAAGCAGCAGTGGAGTGCAGGGCAGAGGTGTCATGGTGGCTGTGTAGAGCCCCATGGCACAACACCAGCCATGCCTGCAAACTGCACCATGAGTGGGGACTCCAGTTCTGCCCAGCAAGACTTACCAAAATGGTCGTGACAATCAATGTCCGGTTAGCCAATGAGTCTGTGATGTTGGTTGATCTGTCCTTGTTGCTGTCCGTCATGTTAAGGCCACTGTAGGAGTTCCACACACCGATCTACACAGAAGAGAGCAGGTGAAAGTCTGCCTGGTCACAGTGAGCAGTCTGAGTGAATGCAGCATTTCTCTAAATGCTCGTGGCCTGGTCAGTGTGCACTGGCTCTAGTCACCACAGAAAGAGACAGCAGCAGTACAAGATGCTAGAGAAGGGATATAGCTGTAGATCTGCATAAGGCAGCAACATCGAATGGTTGATTGTCACATTTAGAAAACACAGGGAATGTACTGCTCTTTCAAGAGCATGTTGAACTTGATTCTCTGTAAGACTATCAGGTATGTCAATACAGCTGTGTATTAGCCAATTTTCTACAAAGTGGAACATGTTGACTTCCTTTCCTGCTAAAAAATGTCAAATGTCTATTTTTATGGATTTTTTTACTTCTGTAAATGGTAGAGTTGAAACATACATCCAGACCTCTGTCTTCCAATGCAAGAGATTAAAAGCTTGAATAAATATGTTGAAACAGATTGATGGATGCAGTGGCCTTTTGCTTCTGTTATGCCTTCATCAAGTTTAGTAAAGATTATTCTGTTATTTATTGACTACTATACATAACAGAGCTAGCAAGGTAAAAACATCTCACCCCCTGAAAGTGTTTGTTTAGCAAATATACTTGACCAAAGGCAAAACTGATTTTTAATTCCTTTCTAACTCTGGAAACAGTGAAGAATTGTGGTATTTATTGTCTGATCTGAAGCCTGAAGGGAAAGACCTCCATTATTTCAGTGGATTTCGACTTCTACTTTATGCTGACAGAAATTGTAACCTTGGAGTTGATCTATTCAGATAAGTATTTACTTAACAAAAATGCAGTTTGAAAGCATCTTCAGATTTTTTTACCTTTGGTTTACATATATAGTGTGGTTGAGAGCTGCTGTGAGAAAACCTCAGACAAGGAGCTTGCTCAGCCTGGTTTGTATTTTGGACATTTGTGGAGAGCACCAGATAGATGGCTTGGGGGACTGACATTGTTCATCCACTTGCATTGCTGTGCCACTCTGCCAGCATGTTTCAGCTCTACCCAGGAGAGATCAACTTCCAGATTCCCCCTCCTGAGATTGCCCACAAAGCTGACAAGGAAGCCTAAGACACTATCCACTGACTTGTCCTGTGTAATAAAGGTCTATGCCCACTACCAGAAACCCCATCATCAGATCCAGGCAGGACTCTTTTTTTTTGGTTTCTAACTGAGGTAGATAATGCTTCTCTTTGTACCAAACCCAGCAGATTAATTTGCATTTGCCGATTATCAATTCAAGTTAATAAGTGTATCATTTCATACAAAGTTTGAGTTTGTGTCCCTGAGTGCCACTGCTCTTGTCTTTCATAAATATTTTCTCCAAAGTATGCTTGGGGATAGTCATGTCTTTTTTTTTTTTTTTCCCCCTTAAGTATTTTTCAAGCATTCCCTTTGTTTCCAAAGTTAGATCATGTTGGGGAACTGATGTTATATATTACGATAGTCTGCACCAGAAACATAGTGAATAACCAGTGCCCTTGAATTTGCACCAGGGTGCCTGATTTAATCAAAAGCTCTTCTGCTTGTTGATACTGACTTGATTTGCTTTTATCGGCTGGCAGCAGGGAAGAGAACAACCATGAAGAACATGGAACAACACAGTCACAGTGCATACAAAATACACCAGGAGAACACTCTACATCTGAAGATAAGGATGACACCAGAGGTCAACCTTGTTTAGAGCAATGGAGGAGGTTGGAGGGGCACTGGAAGAATGAGGCCAAGGCAGTACATCACTATGGTGAATCCAGGAGATTTATTGCAGTTTAGGGACAAGTTTGAGAGTTGTCATATGCCCTTCTCAGCAAATCTATGTTTTGAACCAATTGTAATTTGATTTAAATAAATTCAGCATAACATGAAGTGCCTAGACTCAAAAGCCAGATTGATTCAATACTGTTCTGCATATCAGGTAGGATGCTCTGTTCACTGGGAATGAGGAAAATTGAGTCCTTTTGCCTTTGCCCCACTGACTGATATTAAAACAAAGGTACTAAGTATGTCCTTTACAAGAACAAGAAAAGAGCACTGCGGGATATTTTACACTGTTCTACTCCATAGTATTAAAAAACACAACAACAAAACTCTTTTTAATTGTGTGTGTGGGAGAGGAAATAATAAGAGCTGTGCGAAAGATATAAAAAAGATACAATTCTAAGTATTATAAGTAATTTTCAGCTTGTGAATCCAAAACACTTTAAGCACAGTAAACACAATTGTAATCTCCTTACAGAATGGTGACTTTGTGGTACAGGGAACTGTGGGTTGTACCTCCAGCAGGGAACGGCTCATGGAGCTGGTCTCTGATTCCCGCTTTGGTGCCTTATCCACCAAGCAGAGATATCCTATGTCAAAAGGGAACTGAAATTTGTGAATTTTCATCTTTTATAAACAAGTTTAGTTCAAATTTCCATATGTTAGTGAATGACAGCATCCACTTAATCATCTATATTATTTTCTGTAAGGAGTTAATAACCCACTTGTCAAAATTTTGAGTCAATGATGCTAGAACATTGCCTGCACAGTATGTGTTCTTGTGGGAGGCAAAAATACTCCTTGCATGTTAAAACAGTCCTGCTGCTGGTGCTCACAGACATTTGAAATGTTGTAAATTTACCACTCGTGGTAAATCCCAGGTGAATCAGAAAATATAACTGCTGAGAAAAGGATTGCTTCACTGAAGCCAGGAGTTCTACTTAGAGAAGGGAAAGGCTCAGCTTCCAAGAAATAAAATAATTGTGAAAAAAAAAGTTCCTGATGAAAAGTCTGACTCCTGCCAAGGTCTTTTTATTATTTAGGGCTACAGTATTTCAAGTTTGGACAAAACTTATCGTACTACAATTCACATTCTCAGATTGACTGTTGTCTCTAAACTGCAATTTAATTTGAGGGTTACTGTCAAAACCCAAAGGATGAGTCTGAAGACACAACCCAAAGGTTTTTTGCATCACCTGTCTGTGTACAAACCTTCTTCCACACTTTATATAAATGATTAGAAACCTCGCCAGCAGCCTTGGTACAGAGAAAAATAAACAGAGCACTTCATTACAAATGAAAAGAGAATGATTCTGGAGAGCTGTGTGGGAGCAATTACATTTAAAGTCTCAATTAACCCACAGAAAGCATCACTGAGTCAAGCCAGTATACCCAGAGCAAGGGACAACGCAGCCTCTAGCTGACATGAGCTGGTGATACTCACCTTGGGGATCTGCAGACACCTGCACTAGCTGCCCATTACAGTGCTCATTGGGAAATCATGCTGGCTGTCCAAGAGCACAGCAAGACCATCCCATCTCTCCTTGGGAACCCACAGAGCCTGCTTTTCTCCAGCACAGCTCATGCCTGGCACTGCTGTGGTTTGCATGTTAGCAGCAGCTATTTTGGAGAAAAGCCAAAAACGTCCTTGGCTACTGGGTTCATTTTGGACTCAAGGACCGTACCCCTCTGCATCTTCAATACAACTTGTATGTGGTAAATAAGGGAAATAAGAACTGTTGACTTCAAATTTGCTTTTCTGAGGCATGCTTCCTTGAACTTCCTCGAAGAACATGAATTTTAATAACTTTAATTGACCTTTTTTTTTTTTTTTTTTTTTTTTTTTTTTTAAATACAGAACCAATTTCTGGAATTGTACTATGCAGAATTTTCTGTTTTCAAACAAAGATGACAGCTAACTTAGTCACCTGTTCAGCATAACCCATCATAAGTGGTTAGAGATGTAAGGGCAAAACTACTGATCATGTTCAAAAACATCAAGATTTTTTACCATCTAAAAACTTTTTGAGGCTATTACTCCTCCATCTACTTTTCTCTCTCCCTCATGTTGCACCTTTTAAAAGCAGTACGTGTAAGTCTGTTTTATGTATATATGTATATACATACATGTACATATATAACCTTACTGCTCTAAGTTACAGTAGCAGTGTGCAATCAGAATAATTACTGACATTCAGTAGTAACATCACCAATCCAAAATTCCCATCCAGTGCTTCAAAATGCACATTTTGAAGTACACATTTTAAAATAATTTTAAAAATCTTAGTAGCTCTGTTCAATGTCACAGTGTTTTTTTTACCCCAAATATAGGAGATTCAAGCTGAGGAAAATGGGCTTTCCCATGCAACTGCCAAAGTAGATTTCTGTCATTGTTTTGCTTACCTTTTCTGTTCCTTCTTCCTTGAGACTAATGATGTCCAAGTCAAAATCCTTCCGTAAGCCATCGGTTTTGTTGAAGGTTATGCGCCCTGTCAAGCCATCCCATCGTGCCTGTGAAAACACAAAAACACTTTTCCATTTATCAGGAACTACTACTCTAAACCCACATCAAATATTGCATTTCAAATTAGCTATGGCATTCAATCACTTCTAAATGCATTTTTTTAAACTAGACTGTTTTTTTATTTTGATTTAGAATAGCATCTTCCATTTGTTCATTCATCTAGCTTCTCTTCAATATGTTTTATCTTTTACTAGCAGACACAAATGTGTGACAGTCTGTATATGTATTGTACTGCCTATAGAAAAGCAGTGAGAAAATAAAGTATGTATCACGTGCACCCAATGACTGGGCAGTTTTTCACTGCATAAAAGAAATCAAAAAGTTTTGTCTGAGCTTCAAGTCTGAATGTCGAAGTAAAGCGGTCTAAAACCAATAACATCCCTGGAGTGATACTGTTTACTTCAGCCCAGGACCTTGAAAATCTTCCATGAGGAAGGATAATGACTGGCAACTGGTACTGAATGGGATCCCCTGGAGGTCTTTATTGAGGGAAGGTAGCTAACCATCCCAAATCACCAAAGCTTTCTAAACTCTTCAGTTCTGCTTTTCCTAGTCTCATGTGCTAGGTGCTGCTTCTGCTACTCTGGGCCTGGAAAACTGGATTTTTCCAGGAAGAGATAAATGAAAGAAGGACTTTTGTCATAATAATTTGGTTTCTTGGGCAGGTTAGGGGGGAAGAAGACCTGTAAGCAAGTTCCCAAGTCATAAACAAGGTGTACAATTCCTAACAGTGATTCCTGATTCCTGCCTGTTGTCACAGGTGTTGACGGCATGAGGAGGATGGCTCTAAAAGCAGGAGGAAAATTTTCTTTCAGGAAAAATGCACCCAGCCATAGAGAGCTAATAAACAATTTGTAGTGCAATGTATGCACGAGTATTATGTATTTGAAGTATAGCATAGTAGTTGGTGTAGATAGCATTTTGCCTGTTGTATCATAGCTAAGTGAATTCATGCTTTCCTTATTTTAAGCATTAGCTGCAGGAGTAAATTAAAGTAATAGATTTTGTACATCAGGCTATAAAGCCATGATGATTCTCTGCACTGAGTAATGCTTCTTCTTTGCGGCAGGATCAATGTGCAGAACTAACTCAGAATCATAGAATATCCCAATTTGGAAATTCCAGCTCTGGCTCCACACAGCACCACCCAAAAATTAGACCATATGTCTGAAAGCATATGTAGACGCTCCTTGAACTGTGGCACTTGGGGCCATGACCACTGCCCTGGGCAGCCTGTTCCATGCCCACCACCCTCTGGTGAAGAACCCCCTCTTAACCCTCAATTTGACCCTCTACTGAACTTGAACAGTTGAAGCTTTCTTTATCATGTAGGCTTTCCAGAATGCTCACTTTTTTTTCAAATGAGATTTATCTGTCTCACATAATCCTTCTCCCAAAGCTAATGCTTAAGTACAAAAGAAACAAACTCATGCATTTCAAACTGCAGATGATTTTCATAACCTATTTTTGGGAACTCCCACATTGGATTAAATTCTTCAAAGAAAAGCTTATGATAAATGATGGCAGTTTCTTCATGTGCATCAGCTGTTTAATTCTTAAATTACAAGCTTTTCTTCTGCACATTGATATTCGCTTCATTTAATTTGTTGTAGACAGATGACATAATGAAAGACGCATTAAAAATCATCATATTAAGAAAATGATGTCTCTCTTTCACATTACATCTGAATTCCAGCTCTGAGTCTGCAAGGTTTTATCTCAGAGGCTGTGCTATCACCATGTGCCACAAGCAAGTCTAGAATCTAGATTAATCTAGAATTTTCTGTAAATAAATTGGGTTTTCTAAGTATGGTTAAGCAATGAAAGAAAAATCAACTACAGTGGCAGTGATCTTTCTATGAGACTTTCCACACTATGGACATGGGAATATGTGAAAACTTTAGCAATAAACAGTGAAACACTTGAGGTTTTTGTATGCTGTTATAATAGACCTAGCATAGGAAGAAGACAGAGAAATGCATTTTGTTATATATCTCCTTTCTACTCTGCCTTTTTATTACTTTGACATGACCCCCATCTCCTATTCGTAAAGATGGAACACTTTTTTAAATATGATCTTTAGCTATCCATTCCTCCTCAGAGGGCAATTTGTTTCTGTGAAATGTTCACATTTATTGATTACACATCAAGTGCTTCTCTGCTAACGTGATATGATCATCAATAAAGGCGTAAAGGAGAAAATACATTAGATTTGGAAATAGTATCAGGAACCTAAATCTCAGTTCTGCATGATAAAATGCCAACTCACTTTTGAAAGAGGTGTTCTCCATTAAAAAAAAGAACTCAAAAGATGTTACAAGCTGCACAGGTGTATACTTAAGCTTCAGGGTAGCAGATAAGTGCATATAGTCTTTGTTTACCTTAAGCGTCACTTAGGCCATTAAATAATTATTTAAATTATAAACAGGAATCAAGGACTCTTTTGCAGAGTTGACCTTCAATTCTGAAAGTGTTCTTTGGACCCTCTTCATGAGACACAGTCTACATGAATTTTAAATTCTATATGAAATTTTATGTCTTATAATCATATTTATTTTATTTAATCTAAATAAAAGTAAAACATTTGAGTTAGAGTCCAACGAGCATCATTTAATTTCTTACTTCGAGGCAGCTATGTCACATGTGTCTACAGCATGTCCAGACAGATGGGTAACATTCCTTTCCTGATCAGAAAACAAAGATTTCTTCACAAACCAGGGAGAGGGATGAGCTAAGAACGTGCTGTCAATCCTGGGTCTTCTGCAGTCTATGATAACACTTCCCATTTTTTAATATGACTTGCATCCTAAGGCACAATTGCTTCTTGCATGCAAAGAAACTGTAATGTATCAATTGCTCAGAAATCACATCCATATGCCACGTCTAGGTGCCTGTCAGTTAAATCAAGTATATGAATGCCTACTAGTTATCATGTTCAGGCAAACAGAACAGGAGGCATTTGCACAGTTCTCAGATGCAATTAATGACTAGAAATGAAGCAGAACTTTTGGAATGGCCAGAAACTGCATGACTGTTGAACACAGCAGTGAGATTTCATGCTTTTATATGCAAGATTTATAGCCGTTTTAATGTTTCTAGTGCCACTCTGTGTTAAATGTTACAGGATATAATAAAAGTTGAATCGGAACTTAATCAAGTAATTCATCAAAAGAAATTGCCTTTTTTACACTCTGTCCTTGCTTTAATATTGTGGAACTGAGGGCACAATTTGACTTGCCTCTTACAGACAGAATGTATTTTTGATTTTTTTAGCATAACTTTGAGTACAGCCTTCAGCGTAATTAAAAAATGTGATTTTTGTCACTTTGTAACGTCCTTTGCTCATCTTTGATCCTGCTTTTGCAAGGTTGCAAGCTGCCTCTGACAACAGAGCTGTGATGAGACACTGCTCTGCTCGTTCAGCAATTTGGTTCACAGCAGTAGGGTGCTGTGCTGTTTAAGTGAGGTTCAAAATAAGATCTCATAGCCTCCAATACTGTATCTTATCAGATAACTATAGTTCCTACTTATAAGATGTAAATATTTGATAACTTCCTACTGTTTATTAAACAAAACAGGAAATTCACCCAATATGTTAGCTAGTCCATAAGCAAACCATACAGAACCTTTAGCTATCCTGACTCTTTCTTACCAAGCAAAGGGAAGACAGTGGATAGAAGAAATTACATCTAAATTTCTTACAGCTAAATCTTCAGACCTCTCCAGAAGCTGTCACGTGCCTGAAAAGGCAAGCTACACAAAGAAACCAAATAACTAAAACTGAAACTTTCTATTTAGAAGATTAAGATTATGGGTAAAATACAAAATGTCATCTGGATTTACACGTATAAATCAGAGTATTGGTTTCTATATAAATATACAGATGGAAAATTATAACAAATGGAGAACTAATGTGACTCAACTCCAGAAGCTTGCAGTCTGTTCACGCAACCATTATACAGTCTTTATATCAATTTCCACTTCATCATCATGAGTCAATTACTGTATTTCAACAAAGCCTCAATGGCTCAATCACAAAATCATTTCCAAACTTCCTAAGTTAAAACAACAGGTACATTTCAGGTTCTGTTTATTTTGTCTCCAGTAGACCTCACAGGTTTTCCGATTTCTGTTACCAGATATAACTAGATCAGTAAATCACAATGCCTAGTGTATATGATACATGGCTATAATCAATATTCCTTTTTATGATATATCCATAATGGGATATAGACAGTTTTGCCAATGCTGCATTGCAGTACACAAAAATATCAATCTTTCTCAGACAAATTGATTACCTTTTAGTGATCTTGTTTTTTCCTACTCAATAGATGTGTATCCAAGCATTTTAGTTAACTGTTTATCTCTCTGTGACATATTTACTCTTACCAAGGCCAGTGTTGAAGTGATAGATATTGGTCAATTGTATTTCACATGCAATTCAGATTAGAGAATTTCATTTTCTTCAAGGCTGTTTAAAAAGTGTTCAAAATGGCCTGGCAGTACGAAAGTGCACGATCCTATTCTAATTTTTAAAAATATTATGTTTAATCATGTTTCATAATGTGCATACATTTCCTCCCTTCTATTAATATTCCACTTATTCCAATGACCTGTGAAATAAAACAGTTTTTCTGAAGCAGATCTTTGAACCTTCACTTGTAATTAATCAAGCAACCTCTTTACAGTTTCATACTCAAGTTTTAGACTTTTAATACAATTTAACTTCCAGTTTAATAATTCCCACTGTTCAGAAAATAAGATTCCTACCCATTTTGAAGCCACGTCTGGAATTAAAGTTTGCAGAAAGCATCTCAGGCACACATAGGCACCCTTCATGTACAAACAGAACTGTGATTATAGCTTAACAAATTTTGAAAATATATAGACAAAAGGAGGAGTTGATAAAATTTCTGAGTGAAAAGCTATCTTAGAGTGGTATTATTATGTTCTGTTGCTCAGATCCAAAGAACTAAGTACAAACTTG